TTTCCACCTTATCGGGACTGAGGCCCACAAGGATAAACTCGTAGCGTAAAATAAACGAGAAATTATTAAACTTGGAACGAAAGACCGAAAGCCGATAGTAGTATTAGGACGTTGAATTTTTTGGTTTGTGAAGCATTGGCATTACTTAGGCTAAACCATGTGATGATTTTCACAAGCCTTGATTTTTAAAACCATTCTATATCGCCTTTTGATTAGGGTTTACAAACTTGTTCGAGCAATTTATCCAATAATAATTGGCCCCTTTACCTCTTAAGCCTGCTCATGTAAAATATTTGGGCTCCTCCTTACTTATATTTATATAATATTAATAAAGGACAGAAGGATGAGTATTGCAACTATGTTAAAAGAAATAAATTGGCTTTCAGTTAAAAATTATATTCAGTACATGACTGATATTTATTTATAAAATAAAAATGACATAGTACCATCGCATCAGATCTATTAGAAAAAATTCAATATAATTCGCAATATCACAATTATAATACAAGAAGCCAATCTGACTTTTATGTACGGCAAGCCATCACTAAAAGTTCCCAAAATATAATTTTTATTAAAGGTGTAAAAAATTCAATTGACTGTCAACAGAAATTAAAAAAAAACAATAAATGTATTCAAAAGTAACCTCAAGAAGTTTACTAATTATTATTTACAATTCGCTGGTTGAATATGTAAACCAGCATTATATCCTACCTCTCTTTTATACAGTGAATTTTGAAATTTGCTTTATTACGTGTTGATTTATTAATGTTTAAAAATAACAAACCCTCACAAAATAGGAAAGCAACTAGACTAACAGTGACCTTCTAATGGCAAAAAGTCTTACTTCACGTCTGAACCAAAACCGAAATCATGCAGTGCCGAATTTTAATTATAAGGATGAGTGCGCTACGTTAATTTCCGTTATTCTGAAACAACAATTAGTCGAGAATTAATGAAGCAAATTTTAATTTTTTTACACGGTTGAATAGAGAATAAAACCCTCTTTCAAATGAGCTATCACTCACCACCCCATGCCATTTAAATTTTTCGAAAGGGTTGCTCCTGTCCAGTAAGGGATGAAATTAAGGGTAAACTATTTATACAAAAATGTACACTGTAGAAATCAAAAATCGACGTGTCTCGGCGATTTTCCTAAGAAGACTCCAGTAATGAGTTAGATAGGGGGGGGGGGGGTAAGACTTATGGTGCTCACTGTTTAATAAAAAAGTGCTTTGTATAAGAACATTATAATATCTGTCTTGCTGCACATTTATTTATGGAAAGCCTTAATTGAGATACACTACAAATTATTTGCAACAAATATCTAAAGAAGCATACATTTTTAAATAATTTTACATTTAAGAGCCATTCCCACATCATAGTTGACATCTTGATACCTGACAGGCATAACCAAGCATTATTCTGATTTTGGCCAAATAAAATGGCCGGTTAATTATTGGGGTTGCCAATAAATTTGATGAATGTGTTTTTGTGGCTAGGGGCGAAATAGTAGTACGCTTAAGTTAGCACCCCCATAAAAAAGTAATTTTTAAGAAACTGCTTATATATTTTTCATAATTGGTAGGCTTGGCGACTAATTTTGAATAAAAATGCCTCCAAAATGGCTATATTTGCAAATATGAAGGTCGCAACCCGCCTTAGAAATTTCACTTTTACTATCAACAGCGGTTGTTTGACAGGTCGTTAGAGAATGTTTGCAATTTATGAAATGTAAAGAATGTTAGGGATGTTGACGTTAGAAATAATTGGAATTCCTAAAATTGTCACATAAGAAATGCATAAGCGGATTTTAAGAAAAGTGATATTAAAGTAGTTAGAATGAACCGAAAATTCTGAAAATCAATAGGGTTCTAAGTTAGAAAGAATTATTCAAGAAGATCAAAACTGCAAGTCAATTAGAACTTTCGTTCTAGAGTTATTGTGCCGGCATACATATACACAGACGACCAGACGAAAAATTTTTTTTGCATTTTCGGACTCGGAATGATCGGAAACATAAAAAAAGTTTAAAAAATGGGGGTAAGAAAATGTTTTCGTCTGCACGAATGCAATACTGAGGCCCCATAGGAAGGGCCTCAGTAATTATTTAAAAATGAAATAAATTATTTTATCAAAACAACTAAAGAAATCACATTGGAATAAAAAAACAATAAAAATCATAGAATTTGAGGGTGTGCTTTGGCGTTAAACGTGTTAAGTTTTTAGGATGTAATAAGGTGCCCAATTCAAAAATGTATTTATATACTTGCTGGATGTTACAAGAATAGCAATTTTCTTGTAGAAATGGTATACTGTGACGTAACAACTGGATGTCACAAGATGCAAGGTTTTTCTGGATGTCACAAAGTGTTGTTAATAAAAATATATAATATATATATATATATAAATAAGAATAAATTTATTTATTGGATTTGGACAATAAACCAAACCAAATTCATAATTTAAATAATACAGAGCTAATTTAATATAAAAATCACTCTTTGAACCTTTAAAAAAATATTAATGTTATGTAAATATAGCATTATCCACATTTATTTCCTAACCTCTAATAACTTGTTATTTATTTAAAAATTTTACTTGTCATGTCAAATTGTCAAATTGACTTTTCGTTATTTATATTTTTTTAGTTTTAAAGTATCTTAATTATTGTTTGTGTATATTATTTTGTAATTGATTCAGCTTGTCCATTTTGTATCTACACTAAAATGAATAATACCACCATAATGAACAACCTTAATTAAGATGTAAGTAATTAAAAAAAATTTTACCTTACTTTATCATAATATGTGGTATTATTTTATTTTAGTCTCCCTGATGATGGAAATAAACATTTCCGAAAGCTTGGAATAAACTTAAAAAAGTAAACTTTCATTTGCTGCATTACCCACAAATTACTGGTTAAATTATTAACTAGACAGCAACGATTATCAACTCTCTTATAATATATATATATATATATATATATATATATATATATATAAAAGTACTGAAAAAAATCGTACGATTTTTTCAAATGTAAGAAATATGACGACGACAGCAATATTGTATAATACGACTATGAAGACTAGAGATAAGGAGAAGAATCGGCATACTCAAAATACGGTCCCAAAAAATGCATGCTAATTGAGCTTTTATAATTAACCGCATGGGCGCTGGTACTGCATATATGCTGTTCAAAATGCATGGCTTCTCATAGGAATCATACATAATTTTGTCAAAATAATAAAAATAAACTTGTTTATAGCTAAATAAAGCACAGAACATACTGTTGTATTTCTTTTTAAATAAGTCTTGCAGATTTTAATTGATAAATTATTTAATTTTATCTATATAAAACATAAATTCGAAAAGGTTTCCTTAATGCTGAAATTTAATAAGTACAATTTTGTGGCAATTTTTTTTTGAATTGAACCAATAAGAGTAAAATAAAACACAGTTATTAGATTTTTTATTGTTGTAATACAAGTATAAAGGGAGATTTAGGAATGTACATGGTATTACCTCATCCTTTAACTTCAGTTTTCCCCTTTTTATTTTGCTAACAGTACCATCGGTAAAAATAGTCTCATAACAGTAGCAACTCTTTATCTAACATTAAAAGTATAAAAAATTAATTTTCTTTTCTAATAAGTTAAATTTAATGCATAATTGTTGTTGTTTGTAAGTCAGCATCTATGACTGTAAAATTTTATATTATAGAAACTTGTAATAAAATAAACTAAACTTCGTAAGATACATATTGTGACTAGTTTACAATAAATATTATGTTTAGACATAAATACATTAGAAGCTTTAAAAACACATGAATTCATTTTTTCTTGTGTTTTCTTTAGTTTTACATTTGATTTTTATCCTGTTTTACAGTCTGGAACGACGTAAATCTTGCTTTAATGTTTTTTTGTCACTCATGTTACTTGTGCTCAGGTACTTTTTCCAGATTATTTTGATTCTTTTTACCAATTTTTTAAAAAATTATATCATTTTACATTGATTTACATAGAAAATTGACACCGCTGTAATTAGACATGACAGCTACAGTCAATTTCGCGAACTTTATAAAAAGAAGAACGGAAATTTTAAATTTGACCATTGCCGATTCGCCTCCTTCTCTCTAGTCTTCATAAATACGACATCCAAACAAACTTAGGTAAAACTTTATTTATAGTCCAGAGAAGTTAGGAAAAATAGCGAAACTTTGCCTATACACCAGATATCGAGATGCGGTTTTCTGCATTATGTTCAGGAAGGTCCAGGGAAAAAATTTTACATGGTCTGGTTTGGCGCGTTTTTGGAAAAATGCCTTCTGGGCCGGAAAATGCATTTTCCAATTGCATCATTATAGGACCGACTGGAATCTCGGAAAAATCATTCGGAAATCATTATTCTGGGGTTTTCGGGGCTGTCGAACTTGATTCTGGCATTAGAATTACCCGGGGGTGCACGGGAGTGGTTCTGTGGGGGTGCGCGTGGGGTGAACTGAGGGAGAAATGGCAGCGTGCATGGAAGTCGCTCCAAACTCGTTACTCGGGAGTTTTTGGGGATGCCGAATTCAATTCTGGCATTAGACTTCCCCGGGGGTACGAATAATAAAAATTTTTAATAAATATATATGTGGCTTCCCCCAAACAATATTGAATATTCTCGAACATTTTTGAAATAGACATTTTGTACCTTTCACTTTTCCTCAAGAACATCTGGCCCGTTCATGAAATAGTCTAGAAATTCCATCGACGCCCCACCAGATGTCTTTGTCTATTCCCGCCATAGTATAATACCATGATTGTCGCGCGCAATCGGCGTCTGTGTTGCATCAGTATTACATATGTCTTTCAGGACCACGTTGCTTTTTCGTTGTATGTAAATACAGTGCTACAGTACTTTTTAAAGAAAGATCTGTAAGTGTAAGAAGTAAAGACACACAATATGTTATTGATGGAGGCATGCTTCTACATAAATTTAAATGGAAAAAGGGCCAGAACATGATAGAGATATGCAACGGGTATGTAAGATACATACAGAGAGCATTTGGGAACAGAGTTTTTGTAGTTTTCGTTGGATACGACCAAATTACCACTAAATCGTCGGAAAGAAACCGGCGATGTATGCATAAAAATTCCGACACCGTACGCATGGCTCCAGATTCCTCGACGGTCATGACTTTGCCCGCAAGTGTAACTCAGGACAAGTTTCTAGGAAATAGCAAAAATAAGTCCCAGCTTATTAAATTTCTCCAGGAGGAATTGAAACGGGCCAACATAATGTCTGAGCAGAGTTTAGCTGATGCGGATGTTGATATTGTGCTCAAGGCCATTGAGAGTACTTCTGAAAGCTACAGCAATAAAGTGGTTATTGTTTCGGAAGACACTGATGTCTTAACAATGCTTGCTGCTCGGACTCCACCGAATCTAGAAGTATTCTTGCTGATGCCGCCTTCCGCTAGAGTACCTGATGTTGTGTATTCTTCCAAAATCTTAGCATCCAGAAGCTCTTGCCTCAGGTCTCATATTATTTCTATATGCTTTCACAGGATGCGACACAACCTCAGCATTTTTCTATCGAGGGAAAGTAACATTCGGCGATTTGTTTGAGAAATCCGATGATTTACATGGGTTTGCAGAAATATTTAAGCAAACACATGTAGCTATGGACAATTTAATAGATTACGGGCTTCGTCTAACTTTGGCTCTTTACGGAATACCTAAAGATGAGCTCACCAGCGTTAAACCTGCGATTGAGCTTGTCCAAAGCTATCGAGCAAAAATGTATGCTGAAGCCTCCAATAATAAAAAAGTCGATCTTGCACGTATAATTCCGACTGAGTTAACCGAGCATATCAAGCGTGTCCAATTCCAAGTACAGGCTTGGTACGGTTCACAAGGTCAAGACGAGACCTTAGATCCGTTGGAATGGGGGTGGGAATTTGTGGATGGAGAGCTCAGTCCTGTCACCATGACCCAGGAAGCCGGTTCCGAGGAAATTTTGAACAAAATTTCTTGTTCTTGTCAAACCGACTGTGGCACGAGGTGCGGGTGCTGCCGAAAGGGGTTGGAGTGCTCACTTGCATGCAATCATTGCGATGGCAATTGCTCAAATCAAAAAGGCACTTCCAATGGGGCCGAGGATACTGACAAGGAAGAAGATGAGGAAGGGATAGAAGATAAAGAAGGGGAAGAAGAGTTTGAACAAGATGTTTAGTATTTAAGGTAAAAATTGAAGTTGATAATGAATAATTTACCATTAAGAAAAACTCCTATTTATTATTTGAATAAAGTATTATTTTCATAATTTGTGATTTTTCACTTTCTCCTTTACCATTTCCCACAGCGGGACCCCCGAGCGCCCCCGGGGAAATATAATGCTGAGTATGAATTTGGCATCCCCGAAACCCCCCGAGTAAGGATTTTCGAGCCATTTCCATGGACTCTGCAATTTCTCCCCCGAATCAGCCCCCGGGCACCTCCCAGTAGAGCCACCTCGAACACCCCCGGGTAATTTCAATGCCGGAATTGAATTGGGCATCCTCTAAAACCCCCCGAGTAACGAGTTTGGAACGACTTTCATGCACGCTGCCATTTCTCCCCAATTCACCCCCCGCGCACCCCCACAGAGCCACCCCCGTGCACCCCTGGGTAATTCTTATGCCAGAATTGAGTGCGGCTGCCCCTAAAACCCCCGAATAATGATTTTCGAGCGATTTTTCCGAGTTTCCAGTCGTTCCTAATGGTGCAAGTTATGATGCAATTGGAAAATGCATTTTCCGGCCCAGAAGGCATTTTTCCAAAAACGCGCCAAACCAGACCATGTAAATTTTTTTCCCTGGAACTTCCTGAACACAATGCAGAAAACTGCATCTCGATATCTGGTGTATGAGCAAAGTTCCGCTATTCGGGTGATTTTGATCTAAATGCCCTGGACTATTATGGAATATTTTGAGGGAACACATTAAGAACTTGTTGATGTTAACGAATATATGCTTAGGATGGGAAATATTGATTGGTAAACCAACCAAAAACGAATTATTATAATACGATCCTTACTTATTAAATAGAAAAGCATTTGCATAAAATAGTTTATTTTAGATATTCTTACAGAGAACGTAAGTACGTTTTCCTCTATATAAACAATATCCAATGTTAAATATAAAAACAACCTACCTGTAGATTATTTGTTAGAGCTAGACTCTTTTTATTTGTTTCTGTATTTCACCTAACTGTCTTATCAACTTTTTTTGCACTATTTTTATCGTTAGCATTTTTAATTTTTAAATCACTATTTACTCTAAAATATAATTTAGTCCGTTGCTGAGAAGTACGAAAAAAAGGATGATATACAAAGGTTTATATACGATTAGGAGCAGTGAATATGCCTCATTTTGTTTATTTTGAAAAAAAAAAAAACGTGCTGATGAGTATGTTTTAAGGAAACTACAATGTAATAATTATATTATGGACAAGTGAAGGAAAATAGACAATGGGGTATATTCTGTAACAATTCCTTTATATTTAACAGCCTTTAAAAATATGTTCGTATTCGTTAATTTACTTCTGTCATTATTTAAACAGATTTCTTTAAGATAATCCTCTAATGTATTTTGAAGATCCGTTTAAATAATGACAGAAGTAAAGAAGAAAATATTTTTAAAGGCCGTTAATTATAAAGGAATTGTTACAAAATAGACCCCATTCTCGACTAAAGTCTCTATAGTCCAAGAGCTAGTAACACAAATTTCATTAAGTGTTTGATGCACTTTGAAATTTTGTAATTTGAAATCATTTGGATGGAAAAGCAGATATAGCTGTGTTGGCTAGACCCATTTCGGGACACCAGAAAAATATTATTGTTTTATTATTTCACAGTCTTGGTAATTTAAAATGTTTAGTTTTTCTTTTTTTTTTTAAAAAAAAAACAAAAAAAACTAAAAGTTTCGGGGGCTCGAACCACCAACTTGCTATCCACACTATCCAAATTTTGACCACTGTACGCTCTGCGCCATTGAGCACATATTGATAGAAGTTTGGAATCGCTTCGCCGTTACCAAAAAATTTTAACCCATATCTGGCTACGCCTACCGGCATAGACTCCAACGGCCTGGACACTGCTAAATTGCAATAAAAAGTCTCAAATGACATACAATTTGTATGGGTGTTCAAATCAATGAGCTTCTGTAGTGCAATTGTGGGCCACAAAGATTAACACATTTCAGCACCCTGGTACAGTCATATAGTAGGATGTGTAAATATGCGTCCCGGGGTGGGTCTAGCCAACACAGGTATATCTGCTTTTCCATCCAAATGATTTCAAATTACAAAATTTCAAAGTGCATTAAACACTTAATGAAATTTGTGTTACTATCTCTAGGACTACTAACTCTCTAATAAAGTCTGCTGGCTATACAAAATTTGCCGTATACAATAACAGCCGAGCGGTTGAGAATATGTAGATATTCAATGAGGTAAAATGGTAACGAAGGTCGTTCTTAGACCTAGTTCTCTAAAACCATAGAAACAGTTGTTTCTGTGACACGGACTTTGAGTTTTTCTTTTTTTTTCTTTTTTGTTTATTTTTAACTTAGTCCCATTTGAGAATTGGAATTTATTTCCTTTACAAAATATAAAACATTGAATTTTAATTAGTTTGAAAATTGGTAAAATATCTGAGAGTAGTATTAGGTAAAATGAAGTTGTTAAAGGTTATCAAATATAAAATTAAATTGATATCATGAACGAACAGCATAAATACATTATTTTGAGACTCATTTACATTTACAGTTTGTGATAACATATTACGAAAAAAAAAATATGGGTGTGCAAATAGTTGATCACTAACATCTGGACACCTGGATAAATTCCAGTAGAACTGCCAAATTTTGGACGTAAAATGGAATGGAGAGGTGTAATAGAATCTATATTGATAATTTTGTAATATCAAAATCATATTCGGATGTTAGACCTTTATATTTATATTGGAACGCACAATATGAGCTAAACTAGTATTTCAGTAAAAATTATTTGTAGTTAAGAGGGGTTTAGAAGTAATTCTTTTTTGCTTATTGATTATAGTACATTTTTAATATTGATAACCTTCTTAATAATTTCACCTAAGTTTTATTGTTTCTAACAATATTTGACGACAAGCTATATGAAGATAAATGATAATCTACTGGGACGATTTCTTAGAAATAATTTAGTTATTTATGCAAACAAACAAAAAAGACCTAAACAATTTTTCCCTAAGGATAATTGAAAATGTATAAGTATTAAACTACTGTTTAAGGTTTAAAAATAATTTTTATATATTTTTGTATTTAAGTTTCATTTTCATACATCTCAGTTTTTTCAAGACTCAAAAACAAAAATAAATAAATTGATATAAAATATAATCAAATAAAAAACTTACCTCGGGTTACAACGATAGATAAATCCTGATTAACTGGTTTTCAAAAGATAACTGCTGCTACGACTAAGCATTGGTATTTTAGAATGCATATGTATTTGGTAATTATTTCAATAACAAGCTCCGCTATGTTAATTTATCTTAACCACTTATTTACGACGATTGCTATACGAGGGATTTTGAAAATTTTAATAAATAATCCAAATCAAACAAACAAATTTAATTTTTCACATTTTTCGTCAAATTAATTTCTCACAATACGGAAACAATAATTTCTATTAGATGTTTAACTAGTACGAAAAAAAAAAATAAGTTAAACGTTGAAAAGTTCCAAATACAGGAAAAGTTGTGTTAGCTGTTTTCTGAGATCGTATGTCGTATTCTTTATTGAATATTTTAAAAAAAGTAAAGCATTATTAAGCTCACAATTTGAAACTCGCCAAGAAGAGTACTTACTATTGGGCTAAGCTACATTGACCACACGTACTTATAGGATATTTTGATGCAAAAAATGTGCTAACTACCTGGAAACAATGCAGATTGTTATTTTTAACTAAAACCACATTACCCTACCGAATTCTAACCTGGAACCACTCCAAATCCCACATTTTCATGAGAATATAGGATTAGAAGCGTCTTTATAGGCATCGAGACTATTCCCTTGCTGCAGAAGGGGATACAATATATCGTCGTATTGGTGGTGAAAAGAGCTACGCCACATTTTTAGGCAAAATGAGTTAATTATATCACATTAAAACAACTCTGAAAAATACAGTGGTGAAGAGGGATAAGCGATATTGTAATTATAACATTAAAATCTCACAAACTGAACGAAACTAGGTGAAAATACATATAAAAGCATACATTTCTTTTTCTTTCGTTTTTAAATCAGTCTTAAAATGAAGGACGTGTTTTCGTTTGTACCAAATTTTATCATATTTAATACATAAATAACTTAAAATTTAAATCAAAAATTGTTTTAACTTAGGAGATACAAACTTATTTAGCCATATTCTCCAATTAATAAGTATGTGGCTCGGCTCTTTTCACCACCAATACGACGATATTGTAATAATTTCATCATTTTACTATTGGTGCCATGTTTTCGTTTTGTATTGTTGACGTTAGTTAGTTATTTGGAAAGGCCTTAGGTTATTTAACGTCAATGGTAACAAGATTGGAAATTTGGCTTTTTCAAGCTAGTGGGCACTCTGTGGGTTTTTTTTTTGCTTTTTCGTAGCTTTTTTGTTACGCTAGTCTCCCTTTTATAGCTTGTACTGAATCTGAGAAAAGCGCGGATCCACTAGCTTAGCGGATATTTGTAGCGGCACCTGCTCGGACCCGGCTCATTTTTTGTAACTTTTTTGTAGCTTTTTTGTTACGCCTGTCTCGATTTCGTTGCGAGGCCTGAACGTGAGTAATAAATCGTTTCTCCATGAGCGTGAGAGAAAAGTGCGTTAATTTAAAATCAAGTTTCGGCCTCTACAAGTAATATGTGCAACTCGATAGTGTGACTATCTGTTGCTAGATAACATCAGTATTGCATTTCACGAATTATGGCCATCTTCCATCCAATATATTTTTGAGAAATTTAGATATAATCTCAAAATCGGACATTTTTTTTGTGTCCGAAAGTAAAGTGACGGGTCGTGATTAGTTTGTTTAGTAAGAACCATAGTGATAAAAGTAACGTTTGCTTCCGCCAGCCTTGCAGCCCAACAAATTGAATAGAATGCTTATGTAAGTAAATAGTTTTAAGTAGTTATATTTAGTTATTGTGTAGTCAGTGAAGACTACGTGATTGCGGAAGCAATATAAGTTGTTTTGATTTGTTAAATAAACCACAATTAATTTTTTTACGCTTGTTTTAATTTTCTTTAGTTAAGGAAAACTCACGATCATTCAAAGGCGGTATTGGCTTAGTCAGATCTCTGAAAGAGGGAGATACTGCCAAAGGGAAGAGTCCCCGTAGGGCAAACCCCTTCCCCGTCCTCTGAATCATCGTCAGGAAGTTAGGGTCCCTTCTGAACTTAACCACCTAGCCTTGTGTTATCTAGAGGCTAATTTAAATACAAATTGGGCACCTTTAGATAACTCGTGGTTACGGCTAAGAGTGGACTTTAGGGTCAGTCAAAAAGGCCTATAATCTCACTCTTAACAATACCAATGAATGATTTTTTTATGTTTCCTGAAAAGGTTTTTAATCTTCGTGATGTACCTATACAGAACACAGTAAGATGACGCAGTCCCTATAGTTATATTATGTAGCTACTTAGCTACTTTATTTTGAAAATTAAATATATTGAGTTTGATGTTAATTTCAGTAATTACCAAATTAAGTAGTCATATTTTTATGTTGTTTTTTTTAACTTGAAAATATGTGTATATCAGTCACAAATAGTTGTTTTTATTTACAATACACATCATAATTATAACTACTAAAAATATGTCAAATGTGGGGACTCCTCTATGTACTTTTACAAATGAGTCAAGAAATAAAATTTATTATTTAAAAAATTAAAGGTCTGTAGTCAGTATGCCATAAGTCCATAATTTATTGAATATAGATGTAATTCCTCTTAAAGTGACTATGGATCAAAAATTTATTGTTTATTAGCAGAAGTAGATTAGATTAGATTAGATTAGGAGTTGGACGTTATTTGTCCTTGTCCACCGCGACCTTTTCAGATCTATTGTGGGACTCCGTTTGTTTTAGAGTATGTCGTCTAGCCTGGTCTTTTTTATTAGACTTAGTAGCTTTGACAGTGGCTCCCGCATGTAGTTGCATGCAATTGGCTTTTCTTCGCCCAATGTTAGAAACCTCATTCCAGCCAAGCCTTCACATTGGAAATATAGCAGAAGTAAAAATATACAATAAATTATTTTTAAAAATTCAATATAGACTACTAATTAACTCGAGTAGGATCCACACAATTAGACTGATAAAACTTTGTACATTCAAACTAAAAGTTTAAACATTTATACAATTAAACAATAGTTAGAAAAAAGACAGATGATTTCTAGTAATATATGCAGATTATGATTGTGTACCTAGGAATGTGAAATTAGATTTGAATTGTGTTTATTCTCAAATAAATCAATTATGTCTTCCAAAACTGCCTGATTATTGAGAGTCAAGATTAGTTTTTTGAAAAATGTACTTAGGATTGAGTAGGGTTTCATTAAAAAACATGATATTTTGGTAAATTAATAGTAAACTGTTTTTATTTTATGAGTATTCAACATTGATCCTAAGAAGATGAATAATAGCTAGATTATTTCATTATTTCTAAATCTTCTTAGTTTATAACTTATTTGCACATTACAAAACTATGTACCAAAAACAGAATATAATGATGGTTGTTTTTATTCAAATATTTCTTGAAGATCATAATTTGGCTCAATTTAAAAGTTGTTTTGGTACTTGATGTTTGATTCTGAAATAAAAAGATCATAAATATTTTTATAACCAAAATAAAACTTTACGATTTAAATTTACTTGTAACAAACAATAAAGTTTCTTTTTTAAGCACTATTTGTTATATATGTTAATAAACACCTTTATCATCTAGTCCTATCTTAAATAAAAATATAATTTATAAAATTAAATACACACTTCTCATTCAGTTGTTAGACAGGAAGAAATTGCTAAATATTTTCTATTCAAGAAAATACCCCAATGGGTATTACTGCCACCACCTCTACCAATATTCTCGTTTTCAAAGATTACACAAGTTTGTTAATTGTATTAACATTAGATTGCCCGTGTACATTTTCAAAACTCTTGCATATCTTCCTACTTTCTGCTTCTATAGCAATCGATGGTCTAGCTATGCTTTTCTTAGTCCGTCGACTTAATATTGTAAAATGGATGTCGACATATATTATGGTAGGTCTAAAAGACGTTTTTTATAAATTCTGTGTATGTCTAACGTGCAAAATCAATGTATCTGGATCAATGGTACTTTTGCTTTCCAGAAATTTCCATTTATCTGAAATTGTTACAAGGTTTACTATACCAAATAAAAACATTAAATATTACAGTATGGTCATTTTCTAACTGTTCCAGATATACTATTTAGCAGAGGGGGCTATTTGCTCAGCTGAGGACTACTTCTACTTTCAGGTGTGTATATGAGCCACAGGTAGTAAACCTGAAATGAATAAAAACAATTATTGTAATATAAATGTTCTGAAAAGTAAACAATATTACTTATGTCTTTATTTATATTATTTCGTTTGATATTAATACTGCTCCCACATTGAAGTAAATGTTTCAATTTTCTTGATATTTGCCTACTACAAAGAATTGGTTCATGACCGATCACATAACTTTTCGCGTAAGAACAATAAACATATTCCTGAAAATACTAAGAAGAGACATAACGAAGTTTAGCTAAAAATAATTTCTAAACAATTTGATTAATGGTTTGTAACCACTGTTCATGTTAAGTGCTCGAGATTCGTAGGAGCCCTGAAAAATAAAAAGCATTAGAATACAACAATAGGAACATAAATAAAATACCTAGTTACTGTTACTTACAAATGGAAAGATTTAACATACAATCACCAAGTAAAGCAATGTTTTCAAGATATTTATTATTTGTTAATGGTTTTGTAAAGTGTAGGTTCTTAAATAATATCTTTGGGGACTGACTTTGGGTAAATATAACATAACCACTAAAACTATTGCGCCAAGATGTAATCAACACGTAATAAGTGTTCAAAATGGCGGAGTTTTCTATCTCTTTTTAAAAGGCACACAGAAAGCTGCGCAGTGCGACCATTCTCCGTATAGTAAGAAAAAAATCAAAGTATGTGTTTTGGTTTCACTGACATTTAATTGTAACCAAACTTTCAACAAATCATCAATAAATTTGACATATACGTTTTTACTGTTTTTAGTTTATTTCTAAATATTGTTTACAGGTCATAAAAATAGTTCAAAATGTAATTGTAAACAATTGTATATTTTGCATGTTATCTACTTACTTTAGGAATATATTTATAAAAGTAAAAAACGAGATAATTTAGAACAAAACGAACAAAACACACTTAAAAATCTATTGTCACTTTAATTGTTAGTGGAACCATAATTACATTATCACAGATATTTTGGAATTGTCATTTAAAATTATTGATCGTGAGATTAAAAATTATATAGATTGTCAGATCAGATATTTTTAGATTGTCGGAGGGTTTTCGAACTGTAAGTGGGAATTTAATTTACAAGAGAGATATTTTTGGGGATTTAATGTTATAATTTATGAAAATGGAGAGTTATACAATATAAGAAGTAGAAGTTAAAATTACAAAAAGATAAAAAGGTAAAGACAGTTTAATTTGGAATAAAGAGAAAGGTGAAATATATTGAACAAAGAAGAGTTAATCAAAAGGAGGAGTAAAAGAACGTTATCAAAGTAGGGGAAAACAACAAGTGGAAACCAGGAAGGAGAATAGGAGGTATAGAAAGTGTCAGTAGTTATAGTAGAAGGCAAGAGGACTGGAAGATTTATTTTTGTATTTTTACAATCAAAATTTATATAAGGCATTGATTTTTTTAAATTATTGTAGGAAGCTATTGAAGCCACAACCGTTAGTGCTCGGAGAATATTGTAATAGGTCTACGTTATACAGGGTGGAACCATTACAAATTGGCCACCAACGTGTGGAGCGAAGGTTTGGAGTCGGAGTGGAAGAAGCAGGACAGTAACAAGGATTGGTAAGGAAGTTTTTTGGTAAATTGTAGTAAGTTTAGGGTAATTTGAGATAGTGGGGTATATCTGTTTAGGTAGCAATTGAAAAATAAATTAAATATAGAAAACTAAGAAGTGATATAAAGGCGAAACAGATAATTCAACAGAAAGAGTTTCAGATTAACGAAAATACAAATGAATGTAAAAATAAAATATGTAAATGACATGTTTCGGATTTTAATGGTAAAAATAAAAGAAAATACAAAGAAATTAGATGAGAATATAGAGAACTTTCAAAATAAATTAGAGGAGAAATAGAAGAATTGGAAAATTAAAATAAAATGGAAAATAAAGAAAAGGAACACAAGAGTGTCGAAATAAATAAAGAAATACATTTACAAGAAAAATATGTAAAGATTAAGATTGAAGAAAAAGGAGATAATGAATATTAACAGTTTTATAAAGTTAAAAATATAAATAAATAGAAATAAAGCTAATAAAATAAAAAGAATTAAGAAGATAAAAATAGATGTATATAATAAAGAGGAGATAATAAAGAAAAACAGGTTCATTAAATTAAAAAAGAAACAAATAGGAATAAAGTTGACAAAAAAAGAGTTAAGAATATAAACAGTGGTATAATGTTAAAGAAAAAGTAAGTATAAAAATAAATAGTAAAAGAAAAATTGAAGAATTTATAGAAAAAATGAGAACGAAAATTAAAGAAATTGGAAGAGCAAATAAAACATAGGATTAAGAAGAAAAAAAGTGATGTTATTATGAAAAATAAAAATAAAATAAAATAAAAATGGAACAGACATAGGATAAAAAAGAAAACAAGAAATGGAAGAATAAAAATAATAAAATAAAAGTAAAATAAATACAAAAGGAGTATAAAGTGAAAAGTCAGAATAAACCAAAACAAAGACAAGGGAGTAAAAGTTAAATTAGATTAGGTGAATGTTTAAAAATAATAAAAAATCGAAGGTTGACTGAGAAGAAAAGAGTGAGGGCAAGAGTAAAAGAAAATATATACTATTTTAAAAGAAGGAAGAAATTTTTGAATTTAAAAAAGGCGAGACTATGGAATTTGAGAAAATAAGTTGATAAATAAATGAATATGAAAGAAAGTAGTGAGTGAAAGGGTACAATTGAAATTATTAGTTTTATAGAATTAAGTTGTTTAAATGTAAACAATAAGTGAAGTATTTTTTGAACGGTGTGTGCAAAACGGATCAGTGTAGTGCATTGACGAAAACATTCTCTGCCAGTTTGGCCCGTAGGCCAGTAGGCACGGATTATATTTAATGTCAAATTTGGGGCATGTGGTCATGATTCGGTCATTGGACTGTTGGGTATCTGACGTCAAATGTAACAAGATTGGAAATTTAATTTTGGAATTGTCATTTAAAATAATTGATTGTGATTTATAGGTTCACTTACCTATGTTTGTTGTGTTGGATACAAGGCCAAACCTTTGCTTTGCAGTTACTTATTTTTGATAAAAATCAATTGAAAAATTAAAGAATGCTCTAAGATATCTGAAGAAAACTAAAAATTAAGTTCTTATCCGATAGTCCAAATGTAAATATTAATGCTTTTGTTGATTCTGATTTTGCTCATAATATTAATGATAAGAAAAGTATTAGTGGATTTATTTTAAGGCTTAATAATGAAATTTTTTGGAAATCCTTTATCAAGTTCAGAGGCTGAGTATGTAGCATTAGCCAACTGTAAAACTGAATATCCCAAAGCAAGTTCTAGAAGATTTAATGCGTAAACTTACTAATCAGATATTTATTTATGAAGATAATCAGTCATACATCAAAATGACTAAAACTTTTAAAACAAAAAGGTCTCAGCATATCGATATATCATTTTATTAGGAAATTTATTTCAGATGATATTATAAAACATGATAAAATATTAAAAATCATTTAGTTTTATCTCCTTATAATTATTTCAAGTCGATAATTTTTATTTTGAATTTTATCAACTTGTTTAATTTTTAAAGTACCCACTGCCCAAAAAGTTTGTTTAACGTGTTATGCTGTTTTTATTTACAAATTTATTCGATTGACTCAAATTCTGTAAGTAGTAATTTAAAATTATCTTATTATTGTATTGTTTCATTTTATAAATCTTGTAGTTGGCTCCTGATGAAGCTATTAAACAATGGCGAAATATTAAGCATTTAAGGAAAAGAGTTTTATTGGTTATGACCGCTAACCTGACATTATCTTCACTTATAGACATACACATATTTATATTTATCACTGTATATTTCTGGTCATACTGTACTTACAAGAGATTCAAAAATATAAATAATATATACCGAATTGTATGGATTAATTTTAGTATCAAACTGACTTATGAAGTTTCTGACACTTAGTTTATAAGTGAATATAATGATGTTGCAAATATTTTAAATGCGCTGGATACCGCCAAAATGCAATCAAGGGGTTAAGGTTTGTAACTAATTTTACCTAAGGTACATATACAAATTATATCTAATTACGAACACATTAATTTAAAATATATATTTTTTTATTTGCTTTTTAATTTATAGAAACTAACTGCCTATCTATGTAAAAAATAACGGCTTGGAATTTTTATTATATGTAGAGTATTATTTTTTTAAAATACACATGACAACAACAAACATTTTAAAATATACTATCAGTAAATTTTTATCGACGCACCCCAGCTCTTTTCTATTTTGTTACAGCACCACTTCATGTATTGTTCAGAATTGTTAAAATTAAGTACAGATATGGGATCAATAGGAAAATAAAAGTAGATATTTGGCAATAAAATTTAAATTGTGTGGATTTATTGGTACACGTTACGTAGCATAAAGGACATAAAATTTTTAATTTTAGCGATTATTTCTTCGACCTTCAGTGATATTTGAACGGTAAAATTTTGCTTAAGTAGGTACTTTAAAAATGATAAACTTTAAAATGAAGTAATAAAAATTATACTGTTATATGCCATTAAATGAAGCATATTTGGGGCAGCAAGAGAGAACGATGAAAGAGACGTGACAGCCCTTTTAACCTGGCAGCGTTTGCTGCCTTGCTACCCCTGTCACTGTCGCCTTACATCGGCATGACGTTTTCAAATGGTATTATTACTTGAGTAACACCATTTTCGATATTTTTTATTACAAAACGAATATAACTTTGATTCTGCTCTCACTCACACGCACTGAGAGCATTTTTATCTATATCTTGTTGGCTCCAAAACAAATATTTTATCAAAAAGACAACGCTGTTTCCTTTTCATAGAAAAGAACTATTTTTTTGTAAATTCCTAACTTCTGGGATCTACTTACAATTGGCAGATCTCATGAGCTGTACCTTCTCTCTGGACAATCGATTGAGTGCTCTTTATTTACTCCCAAACCTGTACCTTCAAGTTTGAAAAGTGCTCAGATACGAGATAGTCATCATCGAGTTAAATTATATTTCATTTTATATTATTACCAACCAATAATTTGTTCTTGTTAATTATAATTTTTCTGCAATCTAATTTTAAAAAATAGTCTCCACATGCAACCTTCCACAGGAAGGAATTTGAATTTATTGTTTATTGTTAAGAAAACCTTCAAGTATGCCTGATGTTGGTCACATTGGGCAGAAACTAGTAGCGACAATTTTATTAATAACGTATAATACTACCGTATTGATTTTGAGAGGTACCTATTTTTATAAGTAAAAGGCATTTTTTTTATTCAATATATTATAGGCCAAATTTTTTCTTCATCTTTTTATTTGTCATTACTCATTAATTAATTTAATACGAGTATAACACATTTTATATGCCTTATTAATAAATACAATTCTCGTTAACATCATGTTTAGCGTGTAATTTTCATTACTCCCCACTACAAATTTTGTATATTTAATTCGTACACGTCACGGAACTGGCTGGTAGATAAAAGAAATTTTAAGGAGCCCAAGCTCAAATTTTCAGTTAAATCTTAACATAATCATCGTCATCCGAGGCCATCGAGATAGAATGAAGTATAGACGACATAAACACTATTTTCAATATGTCAGATGGACGCACTTAGCGATGCTTGACTGACGGAAAAGTGTAATCAAAATGGCGACTTAGGTCATACATGCATGCATTTATTTGAAGATTGACGGAATGAAAATGCTTTTATATCATTTAAATTAAACTATTTAAAAAAATGGCATTAATTCTTATTAAAACTGACTAGCTCGAGTTTGACATATGACGTAAAAGTGTAATGCAAAGGTGCGGACACTTTTAGTATCGTCATAGCATCTCCTTTTAATTCTCTCGATGTCCGAAACCAATATCAAATGACAATCTTTGACATAATATCTTTAAAAAACCAGTTATAGGCAACCTTTGCTTAGCTGAGGGTGTAATTTCAAGACTTAATTAGGTCGCTGGCCATAGGCCAGAAATAAGTAGGTAGTAAATAAAAAAAGCGACAAAAATTCACACATTTTTTTATTTATTAATTATAATAGCATAATGGTTATACTCGAACATATAGAAAGCAATTTAATAAAAAAAATAGAAAAATTAAATGAAAATTAATGAAAGACCTGAGTTTGAAGCTGAGAAACAAGATGATCAATATTGGAGTCAATATCAATGGTACATAGGCAGAATGTTTTCTAAATTAACATCTGTAAGCCAAGTACGATGCTTATTTTTATTAATTTTCATGATTGAAAAAAGCTTCTCACATTTACACGTGCTTTCAAATGTGCAAATTATTTTTCGTGCGAAAACTCTCAGCTGGGGATACTTTCATATCATCAAATTTAGACTTAAAATATGAGTGTTCTTGAATCTCAATCAACTCCATTACACTTACAAAGATTTGCAAAAATATTGAAAGTAGTTTCAACTCTTCAGCATAACGACCGTATTCAATATTTTCATGACTGGATAATGTCAAAAAATGAAAACAGTTTTTACTTCTCATTTGTGTTTCCCAAAAGCGAATTTTGTTTTTAAAAGCTATTAGATGATTGTA